TCTCTCTCTCTCTCTCATTAGATTCTGTTTTCAGAAACGTCTTGGAAACCTTTCTCAACTAAAGTAGGTCGTAGCACTGCTTTTGAACCTGAATGACATTGAGTATTTGAAACACTAAAAGAAGCAAGCTGCCGTGCTTGCTATAAGTATGCAAGATTTGTTTTGAGAAATCGGCTCCTTTTTTTCCAAAACTAACATTCTTTTCCTAAAGTGTCCAATATAAGCACACGTAAAACTTTGGCTTCATACAGAGACCAAACACGATTCAATACGAAATACATAAGTGAGGCAGCGTGGTGGAATCAGGCTCTCGTCAATTTTTTGGTATGTAGAGTTATTGGTATCATCTTAAAGCTTGTTCATTTGTCTTTACTTGGGTGAAAAAAAATATCAATTTATCTTGAATACAAGTCGAGATATTTGCCTATGAAGGGGGTGGGGGTCACCTGTTTTCAGAGGTTAGATTAGTGAGAAAATGGCCGCCAAAGATTAGTTATTTCCTTAGCTTAAGAGTCCGTGGTAACTGAAATTTTACATTTTTTGTGCCTTTAATCAACGTTTTACAGAAAAATCCATACAGAAATTAGTTCTTTAAATGAAAGGTGTTGAGCCAAAAAAAAAAAATTCGGAAAAAAATCACAAACCTGCGGAAAAATGCAAGTTTCTTCACTTTGATTATTTTGACGAGAGCCTGATTCCACCACGCTGCCTCACAATGTACTAGAATGTAAACTAGGAGGCGATCAGGGCAGTAGGAAGGAAAAGACTACTTACACATGTCCCTATGCCATGGACAGCAAGACCATCAAATTAAAACTACACGAGAGCAGCCGAGCACAGAAGTGGATGGGATATCAATGTAGGCACACAGTACGTTTTGTCAACCTCATGGCTCAGAGGTCTCCAAAGTAGAGATGTCACCTCCAGCAATTGCCTGCATGGTGGTATGTATCAATATGAAAACTTAAAAAGCAGTATAAAAAAATGTTGCATAGTTTGAGCAAAAAAATACGGAAAGCAATAGCTTGGGAAAAGAAAAACAGTATGTCACCAACATTTTACATACGTGTTGTTACTTCAATAAATAAAAAGAATGTAAATTATAAACATGTAATTTAATGGATATTCTGGATGAGGTTGATTAAGTGCAATTAATTGAAAATATCAAAGGGTATGGATAATGCATGTAGTGACAACAATAAACTCTATTTTAAAAATCACGCATATATTTAAACAAAAATTGGGCTCCTCCCACTGAAGTACATTATGTAACATAACAAGCGAAGAGGAAGAGGAGGGTAAGTTCTCAATGAAGTAGGATTGAAATCATCCCACCAACTGGGCACTCCATCAATCGAGACTCACAAGCCGAGAGTCATTGCTATCTATTTGAGGCCACTTGTTCTGGTCCTTGGACAAACCTTAAAGAAAGACACATCAATGGATAGATTAAGGGAAGCTGGTGTCTCTAGAGGGTCGGGGAGGGACAGCAACCAGCGTGGAAAAGCCAGAAGAATATCCAACCAGCTGTTAACAGGCACGATCAGCAGACATACCCTTTCATGGATCCTGGAGAGGAGGGAGGAGCAGCTATGGCGTTGTGCCGCCTGCAATGACGCCTATTCTTCAACCAAAAGTAAAGAAAGTGCCATGTAAAGTAAACAAAGACACATTCTTTTCTGTTATGGGACACTTTGCAGACTTGGTCTGTGACTTCAGACAACATCATGCATGCTATAGAAAATACAAATGTGTGTTTCTGATTTGTATAAGATCATTCGAAATGAGCCACAACACGGTCCTTGGTCTGAATATTATGTCGGGCATATCGCTACCATAGAATTACAAAGTTCTATCAGCTCAGTACCTATAGTCCGGTAAAAAATTCGAGGCGCAACTTATCCTCAAATATCTTTATAACGGGTGAATCAATACCACCCATACTTTGCTCAGCAGTTTGTCTCGATTTATCTTAACGTAATCACATTTTTCCTCAACAATTGAGGAATTAAAAAAAATTTTCTTCATAAATTAATATAAAATGCTGCAAACCTCCTTCATGAGAAAATAGAATTGTTCACAGCACTTCCCGCTTCTCACAAACGTTTTGTATGCGCATATGGGTTACGTCACAGCTCACCAATGACAATTTTTAACGGCAAAACTAGTTACCCCAAAAAAAGTTTTATAGTGAACCCTTTTTTTCACTAAACGTTCTCAAAACATGCGTTCAATACAGATAATCTCGCGATTAGAAAAAAAATGACGGACTTGCTTTAAGAGCGATATTGTCCCAGCAGTAAACCTTTTAAAATCTGTAGAAACCACCCACTGGGATTTTTTATTAGTATTTTAAAGGAATTTTCCAGAATATAGCCTACAGGTCTGTACAAAAATACTGATCTGTTAAGACAAATTGACAATTCACTGCGCAAAAACAGGAGAGTATGTTCGATAGTTGAGGAGATACTTCACAATAAGTTGCTCCACGAAATTTTGACCGCAGTATGGTCCCGAGAAATTCGACATTAAAAATGTTGTGTTTCACAACATGTCAAGCTGTTTCGAAAGCAATTATTTTTAATTAATACAGTGAGAACGACTCCGAGTAACCTTAGGATTTTGATAGAGCAGATAGATCTAGATCTAGAGCACTTGGTTTCTGACCTCACCGTCTTAGTCAATTAAACCGGCCAAAAATGTCAGATAGAAGTCAGCAGTTCAAAGACAGCGTGTATAATTATGTGTCCAATACGTCTTTAACAAGTGAATCACAGCAGCCCTCTCAGAATGACCAGAAGAAAGGAGAGAGCGCCTATGGGGGATAATTTGCTAATTGTGAGGACACAGCCACCGTTGTCTCCTGGTCTATCGATGCCGATGAGAGTTGTGTTTCCGTCAAAGCCTGTTTTGTTGTTGTACGCTTCCTCTGTCACTGGGGGAGAGATAGAGGTTGTTGTTGTTGTTGTTGTTGTTGCTGTTGTTGAATCACGGAAGAAAAAGAGGTTGTTGTTGTTGTTGTTGTTGTTGTTGTTGTTGTTGTTGTTGTTGTTGTTGTTGTTGTTTTTGTTGTTGTTGTTGTTTGATAGGAATCAAACTTTTAAAAAGTTTAATGAATGTTTATCTCTATCAAAAAGAATTGAAAATTCTATTTTTATCGTCATTCGTAATGGACACAGAATAATTATTCTGAGCCTCAGATCCTGGCAAAACGGGTTTTTTTTAAAACCCAAACCAAGCAACCTCCCGCCCCTCTCCTTCTCTCTCTCC